GTCATTCGCCTTCATGCTGGACCCCGCAGCGGCCTCCGGGAGCAGACTGGCTGGAGCTCCATGCCCAGGGCCAGGCACCCTGTGTGGCATTAGATCACCGCGCATGAGTGAGTGGCTAAGGATATGATGACTTCAGTCGCTTATCTCTAATGTTCGGAACTGACAATGAATACGACAAAGACCAGAGTGGCATTTGGGGAAACTGAGGTAAGGGGGGAGGCAGAGAGGAGCCTGAGCGGGGGTTTGGCCTTCGCTGGGGCCAGCGGACCTAAGAGATAATTCAGCTCTGCGAGAGCAGAGCGGAAGGAATGTGCTTAAGCACAGAGACGCAAAGTCTCAGTTTCCTGAGGATGACACAGTGTGAAATCGGGGCGCTGAGAACAATAGGAACCTCAGGGACGGGCAGGCGAGCCCACCCCGTCTCCACGGACGTGAGACGGTGGGCCGCGTGAGCCTCGCAGGTGGGACCCCACACAGGAGGAGCTAGGCAGAGTCGGGGAGATGACGGCTAACACGGAAGCCGCAGGGATGTCATGGCAAACCCAGCCACCACCAACAGCTTGAGTTCCGACCTCTCACCACCCACTGCACCTGCCTTTGGTTACGCTTTGCAGATGAGGGAGCAGAGAGCAGATAAGCAGGCAGCGTTGAAGCAACGCTGAGTCTCAAAGCCTGGTCTCCTGACTCCACGCCCTCAGTCCCGCCAGAAACTTCCTCCTGGAGCACTTGTCACGACACCAAGGCAGACCTCCGACCTCCTGGAGACTCACTTCCAGGTGAGGAAATGCTCAGAGGGTCCCGACACCCATCCTAGGGTGCCCCCACCCTGTCCCCGACCTTGACGACATATCTGGGGGGTGGGGCACAAGGAACGTCCAGAGTGGACACGAGAAGGTCTTGGGCAGCTCCCAGACCTCTCTCTGGGACACCCAGGGCCAGCATCCTCAGCCGGCTTGCCAGGGTCAGCACAAAGCTGCAATCCTCTCCGCATCTAGGAACCCCGCCCCGTGTACCCCACGAGCCCCCGGCCGTCAGCGTCCGGGGGCTCATCTTGACCCATGCTCTCAGGAAGCTCCTTCTGCACTTGGTGTCTTGTCAACCCAAGCGGAGGGCCGATATCCATCCCGATGAAACTCATCTTTCGGTCCGTGACCCAGACAGCCGAGGTGGCCAGGAGCTGGACCTTGCTGGGCAGAGCCGCGCCCTCCTCCAGCCATGCCTCGCAGAGACACGCTCGCGGCCTTCCTGTCTTCAGGAGACAAGCCTGGCCAAGGCCTCGGATGAGCCCTGAGGCCGCAAGCACAGAACGTCCCCTGGGCGGCTGCTCTGCGGACGGGGTCCCGGCACTGCTTTGGACAGTGGCCCCACGTCACCACCGAATCTTCACACCTGAGGGCAGCCATCAGATCGGGGTCTCCCCGGAGAGGTAAGCCGGTTTGATAAGCTTCAAATGGAACATGGAAGGCTGCTGCCCCAACGGAGGCCTTAACCTGCCCAGGCTGAGTCCACGCCGAGGCCAATGGTCTTCCTGCTCAGAGCCCGCCCCCGCCCCCCCGCCCCCCCACGAAGGCCTGGGGCCAGTCTCCCTGCAGCTGCCTCCTACTGCCTGCTTGGTGCCCGTGCCTGGGCGGCCCGCTGTGACCGGCGCTGTGTGCAGGGTCACCCGCCAGCACTTCGCTGTTCCAGCCGCCAAGGTCGATGCCTGGCGGGCCCTTCCCCTCAACAAAGGGGTTCCTTTTAAAGATTTATTTTTAATGTAAAAGAGCTGGGGTGCAGGCCAGAGGTGCGGGGGTGAGAGGACTCCCCAGAGACAGAGTGGGCAGAGCACAGGCAGATCCACAGCTGAGGGGAGCAGCGGGGAGACAGGAGGGGTCTGCTGTGCCCTGGGGGGGGGTCACTCCCTGGCCGGGGATTGAACGCGGGTTGCAGGGGTGCAGACAGCTTCATAGTGCTGAGGCTGAACCTCTGCTCCACCAGGGAGGCCTCAACAAAGCATTCCATCAGTTTCAGCTGCACAGATCACCTGGTTTTGAGGACCAGGCCTGGCCCAGGGGCGGCCTGGCCCAGCATCCAGGGGCCGCAGGCTGTGGGAGCAGAGAGGCCGCCCGGAGGACGGCGCACAGGCCTGACCATGAGGTGCTCCTGGGGAACTCTGAGTTTCTCTAAGCCTTCAGCAACAGTCATGCAAACACAGGTTTTCAATGAATAATTAAACCCTCAACATTCCTCTTCACTTTCAAGTCTTGGCAGTGGAATTTCCCCCAACGCAAACCCTTTCCTAGTTCTAACAGTGACACAGCCTGAGAGAAGCGTCGGCGACCTCATGCTCAGAGACGGGAGGGCGCTCGCCCTGGCAAGGTGGACAGGACAGAGGGCCGTCCGGCGGCCGCTGCCCGGGGGTCAGGTGTGTCTGCTGGGAAGGGACGGCCTCCCGGCCCTCTTCGGCCGCCACACAGGCCTCTTCTTCCCAGCGGCCACAGGTAATCTCACCCCTCGCGGATGCGTGAGGTCAGCGTGCAGCACAGCGTCTTGGACACGCGGCCTCAGCCTGAGCGCCGCCCGCCGGCCGCGATGAGCCCTTGGCCTCAGCGCTCCCTGGGCCGCTCCCTGCCTGGGGCTGCTGGGCGAGGCCTCCCGTCAGCCCTGTCTCACGCGATGGCCGTTCGCCGCCCCCCGACCTGGAAGCCGGGTGTTCGCGGCCTCGCAGAGGACGAGCATCTGGGATGAGACGGACCGTGACTCTCCGCAACACATCGCTACGCTCAAGAACTTTGGGAGATTCACGATGAAGGGAGCGGCACTGGCCACGCCGGGTCACGCAAGCGGGGCTGGAAGCAGTTGGTAGGGGCCGTGCCACGGAGTCAGAGCCACAGGGTGTCGGGGGGAACCGAGCGCTCTCGTGGCCGAAACGGTTGCTGACAGCAGGTTGGAGAGACAGAGGCATCCGATCGTTCCACGTGGTCGCGTTGCTAATTTTGAATTCTGTGGGGACAGGCCCAGAGCCGGAATGAGCTAATCAACGCCGGCCCCGCCGCCCGTCAGCAGCCGCTGTGTCGCCCGACACCGTCAGGAAGGGAAACGGCCTTCCAGGGAGCCACGGCCAGGCTGTGAGGACACGTGACGGACACGGAGAAGCAGACGGGCCGAAGGCTGCCGCGTCTCGGCAGAGCGGGGGGCGGAGAGGACCGAGCTCCACGCGGGCTGTGGGCTCGGCCGGGCCGAGGGAGACGAAAGACGCCGACGCTCGTTTACAGACTCTGAGCCGGCACCACGCCTGCCTGGGGCCAGGCTGGCTGGGAGGGGAGTGAATTTTGTTCTTGGCTCTTTGTCCTCCTTCATCCCCGACCGTTTCAAATTTTCCACACAGGCTGCACAGTCCTGCAGAAAAGCCAGCAACTGCGGCCTGAGCGGGGCCCATTCCCACCCTCCGCTGCGCCGGCCGACGCCCGCACCTCCTTCAAGCTCAGCCTCACACCTGCCGTTCACTCCCCGCCGGCGACGGGCACCCCCGGCCCCGAGGCTGCCCGAGTCAGCGCCCGTGCGAAGAGCCCGTGGGGGGCGTGCCTCTCCCCGGGAGCCTGCTCTGGTTTTGCTGTTCTAGAGGATACCGAGTTTCGTCCACCAGGCACTGCCAAAACCATACACCAACAGCAATGGACAAAGAGAAAGCATGAAAATATGTGCTGAGTCTCATCAAAAACAATATCCAGACATCTCAGAGCGTCTCAGAAGTTTCTGTTCGGCATCCTGATTCTCCCCTGAAGTTTTAAATAAGCTGATGGTGAGAGCTACGCCGGTAACAGTCTGAGAGGGCAGTTAGAACGCAGAGGAACGGGTCACACTGTTTTACGTAGATTCACTGAAGACAGCTTTAATTTGAAAGTGTGAATTTCAAATGTAGATGCCTCCCTCGCCCCCTCCCCCCTCCATCCACCCACGCACTGACCCACTGCTCTGTCCACCTGTCATCCTTCTATCCATCTGTCATTTTCCATGTCGCTGGCCATGGCATTAGCTACTGAAGGTGACAAGTGACTGTTGACATCTTGTCATCTGATTTGCTTAGAAGCTCAAATGAAAGCCAAGGACACAGGTCGTGACCTGGCTTGCCTACCTGGACACTCCGAGTCAGATTTTTATGACCAAATGTCCCTGGCAGAACTCACTCCCACGAGACCACCCTATCTCTACTGTCATTTTAACCATAACACATCAGACGTTTGCTGCTGGATGGAGAACAGGCCTGGTGGTCCTCGGGGGAGACGCTTCTGCTTTACATCAAGCAGGACTCGGGAACTGGGCCTACACCTTCAAACACACAGTGCTTATTAGCAGATTCTTTCCTGGTCTTGCAGATCTGAGGGGCCCGTGGGGATAGCCCTGGGGGGGCGAGGGGTGACCAGCGTGTGCGCTGATTTTACTGATGCCTTGCAGTAGACAGGGTTTTCTACTGGAAGGCGTACAAAGTATGTAATGCTAGCCATGTGTGCCAGGAAGAAAATATAAGACCATTTTCTGGACACTTATATTGCAAAAAAGGGCCAACATTTAAAATAAAAAGATAAAATAAATACTTTATACCACTGGAGACAAGCTCTGAAAGATAAAATAAACTCTTGGTATTTCTCAGAGAAAAATAAAGTTTCTGTCCACTGGAAACTCTCTCCTTTCGTAAGCCAGGGGTTGCCAAAGGTCGCCTCATTACAGAATGCTGTGATTGAACAGAACAGAGGATGCTTAAATTCTACCCTGGAAAAGTCAGGCTGTGAGAAAGGAAGTATCAGGACCATGAGAAAAAGCTGCTGAATTCGACGGTTCCTTTGTAGAGTGACAACATTCTTTGTTTTCCCAGCGGGTCCTTTTCTCTAGGTTGACCCCAGCCCTAGCCCCAAATGTGGCTCACAAGGCCACTGCTCAGCTGCCTCTCCCAGGCCCAGGACCCTCAGCGCTTCGCAGCTCACGCGCCTTAACTTTCTCAGGGCCATACACGTTCGCTTGACTTACTCGTTTCTTTCCAGGTTTATGATCAATTCTTTGCTTTCCAGCTGTATTCGAAAATTCAGCACTTCTGGGTGATTCTGAAAGATAAGCAAGAACAGTCTGTCACAGACCTGTCACTTTGACTTGCCAATGTCCACTGCACGGCCCACGGGGACAGAGAAACACCTTCTCTTCTTGGGTTCATTCTGAGACCCCGGGGGAGGAGACCAGGGCGACATTCTAGCGCCCCGCCCAGCCGGCCTGGGTGCCCGCACTCCTGGTGCGCTGCCCACGTTCTCTGGGCACCTTTTCTCGCTCTGTCTCCCCCAGAATCAGCTCCGGGGGTGCTCTCCTCCCAGCTCTCACACCCAGTAACAGCTTACCGTCCACACATCACAGAAAAGTCGCCTCCCCCGGGCCCCGCTTCCTGCAATCCTTTGCCAGTCTCCTGTCCTTTCCCGAGGAGGAAGAATTTCCTTCCTACTGCAATGACTCAGCTGCTGTGTGGCCAGGGATTGTGTCCACGGAGGCACCACTCCGTGACACTCGGTGACAAGGGAGGAACCATTCTAACCAGCTCGGTCCCCGCTGCCGGGCACACGCTTCTCTCTTCTGGCACTGAGAAACCTGCAGCTGCCTGTGAGGTTATCAGCGAGCAAGCGCCTAACGCGCTGTTCCCCCTGGAAACCCCAACTACTTTCTCGTCCTGCTCTGAAACACACCCCAAGCAGCACCCCGACCCTCACCCCTCCTGGCCCTCCCCTCAGATGGCGAAGTTCACCTCGGTCCTGCCGGCAGCCCAAGCCACAATTGGGAGCCTTCGCCCAGCACGAAATCCAGCTGGCACCCAGAGGTGCCAGGGACTGACCGGCAAACTCCTCCCGCCCCACTCCCACCCAGGGGAGTCCCGTGGCCGTGGGACCTTTCCACCAGGAGAGTTTATTTTTGACTTGAGAAGTATCTGATTCAAGTTTCTGTGCTTGCTAAATGTCTCACATAGGAAATACATTATTTTGATGTTAGAAAATAGTCATCTGTGTAGCGATCATCAAGGGACACGACACTATTGTGTGCAAAAGTAATTAAAGAAAACCGCACGGGTCCGTGCTGAAGCGGAGGGTTACAGGGCCGAAGGACACAATTTAGTTATGTTTCTCGAAGTGACGCTGGTTACGGGGTTGTGTATGATTCAGAGGTTCACACCTGTGTGGTATCACTCCACCCCCACCAGCCAGGGGGCTGGCACCCAGGGCCAAGCCCAGCAGCCCGCCCTGGACGAGGATGAAGTTCCCTGTGTTTGCTTCGAAGCCTGGGCCTGCTCCTGCCGATGGCGCGTGCGTGAGACGGGAACCCAGCGGTGCCAGGCCCGATGAGGTCCTGTCGCTCCTGGTCCAGCTGGGAGCTGGCGCGATGCAGCCTGGTGGCCCAGCCAGGTGAGGGGCAGAGGAGGGCCAGAGGCCGGGCCAGAGGCCCCCAGCCCAGAGCAGGAAGGTGGGTAAGCGGCTTCCATGCCAGCAGGAGAGCCCGGTCTCCCCAGGACTGACACCACGGCTTGCGATTCCCCGATGCCAGCTCCGTGCAGGGGAGTGTGTCTGAGACCCAACACCGCCCACGTGGTGCGACTGCCTTTACTTAGCAAGTTCTTTGGATTTTGTGCTGCACGAGAGACACACAAATAAAAACGTATGCCTGGCTTTCCAAGCTTCCCCAGTGATAGGCTCCGATCACGCGGCCTGGGAGGAACTTGCTAGACACACAGCATTTCAGCTTCCCTAACACACCAGAGCGACCACACCAAGAGCAAACGCATCAGTCACTCCGATCGGACACTAAAACAGTCGGTGAAAGTGAAAACGTGAGCGAAACCCACACGCCAGCGCCCGGGAGCCCCGGGGGCCCGCTGGTGCCCAGTCGCAGAGGGTCAAACGCTCTCCACGTTTCGTGTCGGGCGGATTTTGCTCGTGTCCGTGCCCTGTGTCTAATAAGGTGGGCACATGGCTACCAGCTTTGAAATGAAAATGAAATGAGATTTAAAAAGCTGTTCATCAGCCGCGCTAGACACAGTTCAAGCCCTAACTGTTAAGTGAGCCATGGCTCGGCGGGCAGAGCGGAAGGTCACGGGCATCCCACCGGGCCGGCTCCCGAGGGAGAGACAGCAAGCCGCAGCAGGCGAGCTCTAACTGCAGAGTAACAGCCTGTTCAGATCAGGAGCGTCTCCAGGGGCTCCAATTAGATCTAAACCAAAGGTTGTTGCTTTTTTTTTTTTCTCCCAAATGTGCTTTAAGAAGGCTCCTCAGGCCCTCCCTGGTGGCGCAGCGGGTTAAAGCACAGCACTGAGAATCTAAAGCCGCTTCCGCATGAGTTCGATTCCCGCCTGCCCCA